TAATAAAAGTAAACAAAAAAACCAAAATGTCGGATCTGGACTGTAAAACTAGCTAACAAGAAAGGAGGAGCTTCCGAGGTGGGCGTTTTATTTGTCGAAGAGCCGGCTGTTTAATAACCAGACTGTGAACGACTGTGACCTTGACTGGGTATTTTGAGAAATGTAGAACTGTGACAAGCGAGAAAGTGCCCTAAAAGGCACTTTTAAAAGTCAATAGTTGCGGAGAAAAGGTCTAGCTAAGAGAATGGCAGCGTTTAAACTTAAAAGCGAAAGAAAAAGGATAAATCCATTCTCAAAGCCAAAGATCTTTTGAAGAGGCACGACGGAACAAGGATTGCAGCATTGGCAGTTTGTAAAAAGAGAAAACAGCGACCCGGAGGAGGAGCCGAGAAGCCGGAGAGAAGCAAGCGGAGGAAGTTCCTTGTAGAAGCTGGAGGTTAAAAGAAGCCAGCCCGCAGAAAATCGGTTCGAAATGCGCTTTGAAAAGACTTTATTAACAAGGCACCAATGGGACACTACTAACATATTAACATAGACAATGTACTTAACCGGTTTGAAGAAAGAAGTTTGACAACACACTCAAGAAGAAAAAGAAGAAAAGATTTATATTACTAACAGATTAATTTACTAGTTAAAACATCACTCAGCTTTCTCTTGATCCCACTATATACCCTCCCCCTTTCTAATTAAGCGAAATATCTCTCCTTTTTAGGAGAGGGAATAAAGCTTTTAAACAAAAAAAAAAGACTGCAGGGAGCACAGTGGCCAGGCAAGCTGTCGCTGCCAAGCAGAGTCACCAGCTTCCTAAACTCAGATTCAGATTCAGACACCTTTAATGGCATAATACTTCCCAAACTCAGCCACCTCTCTGCAAGCTAAGTGCGGCCCGGGACAATGCACTCCAAACTGCCAGCCCTATAGCACCGAGCACTGCCTAGTGGGCTAACTCAGAGCCCCAAGCATTGCACTTGTGCCCTGCTCCCTTGGCCAGTGGCTGCTGAGTCCTTCGGCAGGCGGACGGACCAGGCCCGGGGGGAAGTGCGTTCCCTTCCCTGTTGGGTAAGTGCTGGGCTGCCTCCCCCCACCCGCCATGGCAGCCCCTTCCCCCAAACTCTCTCCTTTGCACACAAGCTGGGTGTCCCAACAAGTACTTCTTCCCTTGTCAGCTGCACCTGTCCCACCAGTCCCTGGCTCCAATGGGGCTTCTCCTTTGAACCCATCCCAAAGGAGGGATCTGCCGAATAGGCTTATGAAGGAGGAAGAGCAGCTCACCTGGAGCGGGGCTGCTCACTTGGGGGGGCGTGCAGGGATGTGGGGGATGCCCCCTGACTTATTTAAAGGTTCCTCAAATTTAAAAAAATCCTAGCTACAGGCCTGGCCAGGAGGCTTGTGAGCATGTCATAAATATTCTGAAAACCCTTTTCAAGAAAATTTGCTGAATTGCCCAATCCTGAATTACCTCAATAACCAATTGATAATGAAACCAAAATATGCTTCAGTTGTTATATTAGTAAGACAAGGTCTGGAGGTCATTGAACAATAATTATTGATGGTTTTCTTTTCAGTACATATTCATCTCCTTTCTCTCCAGAGACACAGCTTACAAACTATTAAAATCTGTTTGCCAGCACTTAGAGGTATGTGCTATCTGCTCCCTTTGTGTGTACATTTTGTATATTGTTTCTCTTCATTTGTAATATGTTGGTAGGTGATCAATCAGTATTATTTTAACACTGTATCTTTAGGATGTGAGTGTTGGCAACAGTCCCAATCCTTCGTCTCCAGAAAACAGCTTCAGAGCTGATCGCCCTACAACCTTACCTTTGGTAATTTTCTCATTTTACTAATAATGTGGATTTTAAAAGGAATTTGTGAAGGTTAAAATATTGTTAAATAAAATTATTAGTATCAAAGGATATATAAGAAATCCTAGGCACAGATTTTTATCATAGTTACGTTTATTGAAGGGGGGGGTGTTCTAGATCATTGTGGCTATCTAAAAAAGAGATAAACAAAGAGTTGCCAAAGAAATCTAGAAGAAGAAGAGATTGGCTTTATACCCTGCCCTTCACTACCCGAAGGAATCTCAGAGTGGCTTACAATCCCTTTCCCCTCCCCTCCCCACCCCAGCCCACAACAGACACCCTGTGAGGTAGGTGGGGCTGAAAGAACTCTCCCAAGAACTGCCCTTGAGAGAGCAGCTCTGAAAGAATTTATGACTGACCCAAGGTCACACCAGCAGCTGCATGTGGAGGAGTGGGGAATCAAACCTGGTTCTCCCAGATTAGCGTCTACACTCTTAACCACTACGCCAAACTGGCTCTCTAGCTATCTGTTCATGTGATACATAAGTAAGCAGTCACTGAATCAATAAGGAATACTATTCAGAGTCTGGATATAAACCACAGGATCTGAGTCTCTACCTTTCCTTTAGAGCTCTTGGCTTAATGGTTAGGAAAGGGTTGTATTTAAATCACAGAGAACTACAGTGTCTATGACAAACTGCATAAAGCACTTGAGAAAATCAGCTATTTTACATGTTATAGTTGCCAAAAGGCTCAATACCCCAGTGTGAAGATCTCCACTCCCATGCCATAGGATGCAGAAGGACTTACTATGAGACATGACAGTGTCACACTGTTGACTATTGTAATATGCTTTGCACATGACTGCTCTTGAAGACAAATCAGAAGCTTCAGTTCTAATCTTATCTGTAGTGCTGTTGTAAGATGTAGAGCATTTTGTGTTTTTCAGGACAGGAAACCATGCCCTATTTATTTTTAAACTCGGTTCTTTCCTGTTGAAATTGTGTTTATGTTTATGAATTTCAACGGCGTCCCTGTGTAATCTGACATGTTATTTGGATGTGTTGTCCAGCCTTTCAGTGTCTTGGAATAAGATACTGTGTCCTGTTTGAGCTAGGCTGTGTTCAGCCACTGCTGATTTTTCAGGTTGGCCAAGTCTGCAGTGTCTTTCATGTTCTTTTATTCTTGTCTGGATACTACGCTGTGTGGTCTCGATGTAAACCTGTCCACAACTGCAGGATATGCATTATACTCCTGCAGAAATGAGGGGGTCTCTTCTGTCTTTTGTTGATAGTAGCAGTTGTTGTATTTTTCTGGTGGGTCTGAATACATCTTACAACAGCACTACAGATAAGATTAGAATTTCAACAGCCAATCCATATGCAAAAGAACCTCCTCAGGAAAGCTCCTCCATTAGCATGTCACAGCCTGGGGAACTCCTACATGATAATGACTCAGCCCTACCCCACCTTCCTGAATAGATATAAATTACCTGCCTACCATTTTTCTTCTCACATTGACACAGAGAGTACTCCATCTTTTCTGTGTTATACCTCTGAGGATGCCAGTCACAGCTGCTGGTGAAACGTCAGGTACTTCAATGCCAAGACCATGGTCATACAGCTCAGAAAATCTACAACAACTAATAAACACAGCAGTTATTGGTCACTGAGTTAAGCTGCAGTATTTCTTTTCATCATTCATATGAGATTAATTATAAATATTTGCAAATTACAGTAGATTGACAGAGTGTGACTTGATTAAGGTCATCTGCTGAGCTTCATGGGACTGGTGTTTAAATCTTCCACATCCATACTACTACTGTGCTGTTCATTGAACTATGTTGCCTCAGATTGAAAGTCTCTTACTGTTGTGAATCACTGAAGGCACAAGGGACCTAGCTAACATGCCTTTCAATCATAGCTGGCATTTCTGATGCATCTTCCCCTTAGGGCTTGAGTGAAGATTATTCTGAACTGGATGGCATCATTCGGCAGCGGAGGCAGGAAATGGAAGAATCTAGCAGCACTGGTTCTCAGACTCCAGAACTGGAACATTTTCAAGGTTAAGATAAAATGCTGTTTTGAGGGTCATGTGTAGCTTTGCATTAATTATTATTTACATTTATTTAAAATATTTGTATGCTGCCTCTCTACCCAACTTAAGGTCCCCAGGGTGGAAAACAATAAAAACAATTTTTAAATGGATAAACATATATAAAATAATAAAAACAACTAAATAAAACATACAAATACACAAACACTTGAGAATACAAACAAGGAGGCAAGCCAATGATAATAAGGGAATGCCAAACAAAACAAAACAAAATCTTCACTTGCTGGTGAGAGACAACAATAAAGGGAGACAGATTAAATTTATGGGGGCGGGAGAACCAACATTTTTGCACCACAACTGAGAAGGTCCCTTCTTGGGTTTCTGCCCATCTAGCCTCAGGCAGCAGGAGCGTATGAAGTAGGACCTTTGTGAATGACCATAGTGGTGGAGTAGGCTCATATGGCTGTATGCAGTCTTTAAGCTGTATATGGCTTTAAAGGTCCATTCCAGCACCTTGAATGGGGAACCAATACAGCTGGAACAAGCCAGTATAAGTGGAACAAGACTGGAGTGATATAGTTCCTACGAACCACTCCAGGCAACCTTTGGGGGGATGGGAGAAGGGTTTCAGCCTCCCTCCCCCCACTATTTTCCAACCCAAATGGCTCTGACAGGGCCCTATCTGATAGTGCATAGTCCCCTCCCCCAGCCAAATAGCACTACCTTGCAGTTAAGATGTGACAGAGTCCAAGTCAGGTGAACCTGGATACAATATGTTAAAAATGCATAGTTCGTGTTTTACTTCTTAGATTGATACCTTCATTTGTAAATCACCATTTTTAAAAACTTGCTTCCTGCAAATGTTGCAGAATCCAATGAAACAGGGCTACCAGATGCCCTCTTTTTAGAGGACATGTCCTCTCTTTTGGTGTCCGTCTTATTTGGGGCTCTTTTTAAAACACTTATGAAAATATTCTCTGTTGGGGTTGGAAAGTTAGGAATATTCTTAGTTAGTAGGAATTACCACAGCTAAAATAGTAGGGGTATTTAAAATGAAATTTGTCCTAGCAATCACTTGTTTGAAGTAGTCAAACAGAAATATGTCCTCTTTTTTGCGTTTCAAAATATGGTAACCCTAAACTAAACTATTATTTTTTTCTGGCTGAAATAATGCACTGAGTTGTGCAAAGTACATCAAAGGAATACCCTGCCACTGAGCACCATGTTCCCTGATTCTGATTACCAGAGACTTCCGTTCCTAAACACAATACATCTTCTTGGAACGGTAGCAAAAATCATACAAATACAGTGAGGCTAGATTGCACTTTCTGCAGAATCATTATTTAAGCTGTACGTGCTTGACTCGTAGTTTTAAATTTTTGTTTCTGGCAGATTACCTTGCTGTTGACACCAAGACTCATCTGAAAGCATCCAAGGTAGAGGCATCACCTGCCCATGCAGACGTACACTCAAAATGCTTGTGCGATGGTAAACTCAAGAATGTTTCTTGCAACGGTAAATAAACTAGACCCAGCTTTGAAGGAAGGGGCAGGGTGGATTTGCCTTCTTCCCTCAGTTCTTTGCATTCATTGCCATATTTGCATTCAAACCCCAGTTTTTGCAATAAGAAGCAAAGATGCAATTAAGATGTGCATAGATAAACTTGCTATTTATTTTTAGAGACCAAAATTTGGAATGGTGGGAAAGAAGGTAGCATATCTAAACATTTTCAATACAACCTGGGAATTGAAGCAGGAAGGGGAGAGTAAAGCACTGAGGGACAGCGGCACACTTCTTATATATTTAAAAGCGACGAGCAAAGGTTTAGTGTGTTCTAGTTCCTCATCCTTTAGAAGACCTAGCTCACATACTGGAACTGGAAGCTTTCCCCCAGCTGTGTTTTTATTTAATTGTAGCTGAGGTCTCCATGTGCTATCAGATTCTGTGATAAGCATGGAAGGAGCTGCGGCTCAGTGGCAGAATACTTGCTTTGCTTGCAGAACATTCCAGTTTGATCCCTGGTGTCTACAGTTAAAGGAATCGTAGGCAACAAATGTGTCCAGGGATAGGGGAATATTTGGCCTTACCGGGAGGCTACCACAGGAGGGAGGAGAGGTCACTGCTCACCTGCGCAGCAGCTGTGGGGCTGCTCCTCTTTAAAGGGACACGACCACCCTTGCAGCTTATCAGCAGCATCCTTGACTAGCTAAAGGGACAGAGTGAGACTACAAGACAGCTGAGGTAGCTCCTCCTAATAGGCTGCAAATAGCCAGGGGATGTGCGTAGCTTACTGTACAGGAATGGAAAGGGGTCAGGATGGAGGCCAGTGGGGATACTCCAGAATTCTCCAGCCATTCTCCACTGGTTGCCTCAGACAAGACTGGCAAAAGAAACCAGGTGGATGCAAACCCCCCTCCCAGTTCTGAGGCCACCTTTGACACCAGCAGAGCATTCTGTTAGGAGGCTTAGCCTCCAGAGGAAAGGACTGTGACACACACACACACTTACAGAATGTCGGGAAAGACTTTTCTCTGACTCCTTAAAAATGACTAACAATCAGAGTAGGCCATACTGAGCAATCAACCAATGATCTGAGTGGATAGGAGGAAGATGAGTTGATTTAAGGAAGTTTCTTATGTTCAATTGTACAAGAACAGCTTTACATATTTCTTCTCTGTGTCCCATCCTTCAGCATATAGTTCATAATGCAAATTGTAAACTAGTTTGTCTATTTCTCCCACATGACCGAAAAGCCCATTAAACAATGTACCATTGATTCAGACTATGGATTTTTAATCAAAGCTTTCCTATAGACAAGGGCCCAGTGCTGATGGTACTACTGTTAAGAGTAAATTCAATAATGTATGCATGTTTCATAGGAGACAAAAACCTGTCAACTTTCTTTCAATCCCTTCAAAACATTCTTTGCCTTAACAGATGGTAGTAGCTCAATGGAAAAAAATCCTATCTAGTGGTTTGACAGTTCTAGACTGCCATCAGGCCCATGTTTAACTAGGTTTAAATGGACATTTATTTATTTGATTTATATCCCACCCTCCTTGCGTGTGAACCCAGCTTGTTACCAGGTTTGTGTGTTTGCCTCATTCCTTCCTTTTTATGTGGAATGCAATGAAGGAATTCTAGTTAGAACGAACTTCAGCTACCCAAAATATAATGAAAACAGGCCCACAGGTTAACTGGAGTTAGTCCCCACTCCACCAAGATTCTAAGGCTGAATTAAGCTTTAGTACTGAATCCTAGTTGGTTTAGGGGAAACTAGCTCCAGTTAACTCACACAACTACACTCGTATAATCCAGGTAACTACAATTAAGTTCTACCTAAGATTCTCCATGTGCAAAGGGATGGGGAAGGAGAGAAGAATAAGAAATGCACAAAAACCTGACAATATGCCAGGTTCATGTATATGTCAGTAATGTTGGTTAAATGTGATTGTTTGGAACTTGCTGAAAATGTCCACTGTCAGAAGGATTTCTGTCAGCAAAATGTGATTTCCTCATGTCCCCCTCCCACTGTAGTGTTGCCCTGCAAGGCACATGTAGTGCTCTTATGGACTCATAAATTCATAAGTGATAAAACTGGACTGTGCAATTAGTGTGAAAAAGGGACTGAACTGTGTGGTGACCCAAAGTGATGCCAGCTGCAGACACACACCAGCAGAGGAAAAGCCTCCTCCTGAGATGATGTGCCAATGGTCCCTGAGGTTACCTGCCCTCTCTTACCCTCAGCGCAGCAGGAAGAGAGACCAGCTCCCTACACATAGAGAACACACAGAAACCAATAACCATGTGCCATGGGGAAATGCCATATTCTGCAAAAGGGACTTAAAATCCTGAAGAGACTCCATGAGCAAAACCTTTCCTTCAACATGCAGGCAACCCCTACCCACCCCTCTTCACCTGCACCAGATGATGCATTTAGGCTCCGCAGCATAACAAAGAAGCCTCTGCCAGCTAAACCCATCAACTCATCAGCCAGAGCCATTAAAAGACAATACCCCTGGACTCAGCTATTGTTCTCCAAAGGTGCCACTGGTAAAGTGATTGGATTCAACATTGCCCAACCCTGCCCCATCCTCCTGCAACCAGTTTTTTTAGGAAACGTCCAGGGGATAGATCAGGGAGGGGGGACAAACCAGGGGGGCCTCACAAGGGAGGTGGCCAGTGAAGCCCACCTCCAAGCCCCAAAATGGCATAAAAGAGCTGGTCTAGCCATGTGCTCGCTCGGTTTCCATACCTAAGCCCTGCCCCATCCTGCTGGCTCTCAGTGTAGCACTGCCCAGAGTCACATGTTCTGCTGGTTCAGAATAAGACCCTTATTTCCTTATAGTCTCCCCATTTTTCCTGTAGATCGCTTCATCACACTGAGGATAGGTAAATATTACCCCTCAACTAAACATCCTGCTCATGCGAATGTCGCTATCCCTTTCTCTCTAATTTTCCTAGGTCTGCATAAGTGTATGTGTGTTTGTGTTTTATTGTATGTTTGAAATATTCTTCAGTAAAGAACCCATTTCTCTAAAGAATTGGTTTCTATGTTTATTCTTGGTTTTACTAGAAAGGTGGGACTTCTGTATACATAGTCTTGTGCCACTTAGTTGCCAATTGCTCATTAAATATTATAATTCCCCACAATTATTAATAACTAAAGCAATTTGGCTAACGGTAGTCACAACTACATCCCAGAGATGGTACACTTGGGGGACACGGGTACTCCAGGAACAGCATGAGAAGTAAATTGGAGGTCTGCAGTTGGAGGATTGATGAAAAGGCCTCCTTCCATCACCAGAAAACCTCTGTGGTATCCAATCCAATGTCCGATAGTCTCCTGTTGTGTGTTCAGTTATGTTATTTTCAGATTTCAGTGGTCAGTGGACATAAATATTTTGTTCATTTATAGTTACTCCTAGAATCCTTGGTTTCTTCTACAGAACGAATTACCAAAAGCTTCTATCTGTGAACCACATACTTGTTTTATATGCAATTCTGTAAGTATGAACCATCCCCTCCAAAACTATATGCCTAAGGACACCTTCACAGGAAAGACTATGCTAAAGGGTTTAGTAGTTCCTGCTTCTTGTTTATTGCACACCAATAAATATTTGAATACATTCCACATGAAATGTTTCCATTGTGTGAAATGGCAGGAGGAAAATGTGACTTTTCTAAATTGCTCAGAACTGTATGTTGTAGGTAATGAAATTTCAAATTTCAAAAATCATTTTACCAAACTTGAGGAGGCTAATGGAAGGAAGGTTGTGTGGGGGTTACAAATTGGAGGAGCTAGTAGCATCACATGAGTCAGCACAGCTAGGTTTGAGTTGCAGAACATCAGAGAGTAAATCCTATAAGATAGTGGGATATCTCTCTGTGTCAGGAATCCAAGCATCTATGAGACCAGCCCTTCAACAGAATCTTCTACAGCAGGGGTCCCCAACAATTGATCAATGCCAGAAAAGGTGTTGATGCCCACGGGCACCATGTTGGAGACACCTGTTTTACAGAGTCAAACTCTGGGTGCATTCATAAGATTGGTTTTCATTATGGGTCTTTGTATAATTTGCCCTGAAATCCACATATAGTCTGCCTTTCTTACTGAAACCTGAGCTTTTCTTTCTTAAACTGAAACACATTGCCTTTGTTGGTATGGGGATTTGAATGTTAAATCCTTAATAATGTTAGATGGCTGGATTAATGTAAAGCATGACTGAAAACTCTTTAATATGTTTCGAAAACCAACAGATGTCTTCCTATTTTGCCTGATGGTCATAGATTTCCTTTTTTCCTTCCCACCCGTTACTTACAGTGTCTGTATACTAATTTTCTCTACATTCTACATGAGATATAAAATCCACATTCTGGAGGAGCAACTTGGTTCCATGGCATCCTTTGAGGATTCGCATATTAATGAGTAAGGGTACTTTTTTCTCTAAAAGAATCCTCTGTCTTTTCCCACTTTAATATTCATCCTGCTGGATTAAGTTTCCATATGTTATTTCAGAGTTATCAAGGTCACCTTCCCTAGAGTTGTGCTCTGCCTCTTCAGCAAATTATCACTTTAAAGCACTCATTAATGAAGCTTCCCATTTGGCAATCTATAGAGAGGCAAAATTCATATCGCAAGGTAATTAGGAGGATAATATATGGGAACTAGCTTAAAAGCTGCACTCTTGTTCCCACTCAGTCCTATGACTTTTTTTTTTTTTAAGTAACTCAATTCAGATTTTAGTTGAAGGTATTCATTCATCATGAATTAAGGGGAAATGCATGATGCAAATATGAAGTGTTTTGAAACTTAAATGGCAAAATATGTGAAGTCGGTCCTAAATGTGTTTGTTTTGTCTTGTTACTGTGCTGTTAGGATCTCTCGTTGCCAATGATAGATTCGGACACAGTCTGGGGCGATCTTCATCTCTCACCACAGATATCAAAATTCCAGTCCACATATTGCACCCTATAGCAATACAAAGCATGGTTTAAAATCCCATGTAGTACCCATGAGTTTGTTGGGCAGTGTGCATTCAGATTTCACATGACAACAGACTTTAATCAAGCCATGAACTCTGGTTTTTCAGGATGTCCAAATGTTGCCATAAAGTTATCAGCATTTTTGCTAGCCCTATTCATGTGCTTTTAATAGAAGCCTGATATTCAGAAGCAAGTTAATCATTTCTTAGCATGGAGTTAAAGTGATGGGGAAAGTTTAATCTACTAAGAGTGCTATCCTCAAGAGAATTATAATCTTCTATTGAAGCCTGTGGGCTAGAAGGGCATAACTCTGTGTAGGATTGCACTGTAAATTTCAGTGTGCCACAGAACAGAACCAGAAAAGAATTACTAAGAAAAATTTGACATTGTACTGAGTCCAGTTTTGTTCAATCACACATACACAATTTCAGCTCAAAGCTCATAGAGTAATCATACACTCTGCGTAGGACTGCACTGTAAATTTCAGTGTGCCACAGAACAGAACCAGAAAAAAATTACTAAGAAAAATTTGACATTGTACAGTCCAGTTTTGTTCCATCACACACACACAATTTCAGCTCAAAGCTCATAATCATATGCAAGAAACAGAGCAATTGTAATGAAAAACCATGCTCACTTCATGCCAACTGTGGTGTGTGTGTATCCCCCCCCCCGCATTCTCTGTGCTCACTGCCTAGATACATTCATATTGGAGCCTCTGTTTTGAGGACTGGTGCCTCAGTGTAGCACTGTTCACCTCAGCGCTGCAATGTGTGCTATCATGACACCTTTTTTCAGGCTGCCATGATTACAGAAATCATAGCAGTAATACCAGCATGTGGAGGCACCAGTTCTTATAAACAGCATCTCTATGTGGCTCCTGTTGTGCACAAGTCCAGTGGCAGCTCCCAAATTTGTATGGGTCAAGTTGCCAACTTTCCCATTCTGTGGGAGAAATAAATTAAGGCATTCTGAACTGCAAAGTCAAAACTACATCAGCCTCCAAGATACCCCAAGACTGAAACAAAAAGGTGACAGTTATGTGACTTGGGTGTACTAGATGCTCTCCCCCCCCCTTTATTCTTCAGCAAATTAAT